AGCTTAGGCCCACTCCCTCCAGGCACCCCCAAGGACTCCCGGGCTGCGAGAGGGATGTCTGACTGCCAGCTTAGGCCCAATCCCCTGGGGAGTGATCCTAAACCAGCAGGTGGTCATCCCCTGAGGGGTCCCAGACTGCAAGAGGGCACAGACTGGGCTGAGGGACAGACACCCCCCACCCCCTCCCGAGTGCATAAATTTTTGTGCACCGGGCCTCTAGTATTTTATAATCAGTATAATATTGAACAGTTAGTTTCTTTTGTTTTTTTTTTAATGGCTAATTTTCCTCTGAAGAGCTAGACTTCCTTAGATCCAGGACTCGGGTCTCAGATGGTGACACCACATTCTCTGAAAATTTTATAAAATTTTGCAATAATTCAGACTTATTTTCATTGTATCCGATATACCAAATTTGCTGAGTCACCAAGTTGGGTGACAGTGACTTGGAGCAAGAAGAAGTAAATTTTCTATAATTCTGTTTGCAAGATTTATTCTAAATAAAGGATTTAGTATCATCCATGTGTATTCTGCCCTTTTTAAGGTTAACTGGGATTGAGTCTAACAAATAAATAATTTTTTTTTGGAGAGTAGTTTGAAGATTTAGAAATAAATATATGTTGAAGATCAGTTGAAGTTGTAAAAGTATACAATTTTCTCACAGCTTTAGATATTTAAATTCTAGTGAAATGGAAATCTCTACTACCTACTCTATAAGTAAAAATGATGTTAAACTTCTAATGTTTATCTGATTGACATTTAGCTTACCTCTAGACTAGGCTTCCCTTTCATGCCTTCAGGACCCCCATGGTCTCCTGGTGCTAGGCAGGTGGTTTCCAGCTGTCACCGAAATTTAGACTGCTTGGTGCCGGGTGGTGGGATCGTTGCTCCACTGATAAGAATGCTCTTGTTCTTATACTATAAGGGAGAAAGATGGAGCAACACTCCAAGATTGGCTCCACTAGAAATTAGAGACTACAAACCGAGAAAGTCAGAAAAGGAGAATTAGGAGTTATAATAAGCAAGCAAGTTTTGTTTTGTTTTACAAAGCATCTTCTACCATAGTGATAATAGCCCTTACAGAGAATCATGTCATTTGCCCTGCGATATTATGTTGTTACAGCAGACAAGTCATTAGAAGATACAAAGATGGTTTATCACCTAAGAACTTGTCTGTAAATTATGGCCCCACGCTTTGATGCAATATTAACATTTTAGAGTGGAAATATGACCTGATATTTGATTAGATATAAAATGAGAATTTTGACATTCATGAAAGGTTAACAAGAGGAGCGGGGTTCTGATATGAACTGTGTCATATCATTGGCTTTAGATCAGTTGATTGCATTGTGATTCTTATGGAAGCTTCCTCACATTCCCTGTTGAGGAGTAGCTTTTGAAACATTCTTCCCCTGGGGAAGAACTATCTTTAAGTATTCTGTATAGGTTAAAATATCGCTTAACAGAATAATTAAATTGGGCTTAAAAACTACTTATGAATGAAGTTACTGTTTAGTGCAGAAGGAGGAGAATGAAGAGGTTTTTGTTGTACACAGAACCAAAACAGTATCTGCTCAAAAGAGTTGTAAAATCCAGTTAAAAAAAGTTAAAGATTAAGTAATTGTGTATTTATCTGTAGATTAATGGAGGGAATGGAAAACTGGTTAAGGGTATGTGTGTCTTATTAGTAATAGGAAACTTTTCAGATTTACATTTTAAATTGAGCTTTGAAGTAAATGGAAAAAATAATCTTGGTGCATGAAGGTGGGAAAACTTCCAGGTGTAAAAACAACTTGAGAAAAAGTTAATTTGATTAGTAGAGATGGCAGGCAGGTGTGTATGAAACACTTAATAAAAAACAAAACACACATTTTAAGTTACAATATTTTGTCAAGACTAGTACTGGGTTTTATCACCCCAAACTCAATATAAGTGGCCAGGTTCTCCTGTCCTCCCTGCTTTCCTATCTCCAGCATTCCTTTGTAAGAGAGCTAGGTAAAGAATGTAATAGATTGTATCACTTAAGGCAAGTAGTCTTGGCATCATAAGTAAGTTCTCTTTTCTTTTCCGTTTTTTAACATTCTTAAAATATCCAGTGCATGATTCTCATTCGAGAGCTAACTAATAATCATTGTTGAAAGCACGTAATTGTAGTAAGCAGCAGTGTTATATGTTTTTCGTTTGCTTTCTCTGCAGAGCACAAAGTGATTATAGTGGGACTGGACAATGCAGGGAAAACTACCATTCTTTATCAGTTGTAAGTATGAGTGTATATTTAAATAGTTTCATTATTTTATTTATTGGAACTAATTTGTATAATTAATAAGGATAAGGTATCATAATGGAAAAACTTGAACATATGTTTTTGTATTTTACTGAACACAAAATTTATGAAAAAATGCCTGTTTGGTGTGGCCAATGATTGAGCTATGAACCCAGAGGTCAGAGTTTGATCCCCAGTCAGGGCACATGCCTGGATTGCTGGCTTGATCCCCCAGTATGGGGTGTGCTGGAGGCAACCAATTGATGGTTCTCATCATTGATGTTTTAATCTCTTCCCCTCCCTTCCTCACTCTGATATCAACAAAAACATATTTTAAAAATTAAAAAACTCTATGCTTATTAAAGCCTTCACAAACTTATTTTCTGCCCTTGAAAGAAAGAATTAATATAAAATTAGGATAAATAAAACACATATTATAGTGCTAGAGTGAGGTGATAAAGTGCATTTCATTAATTTATTCTCACAGTGAGGTTTATGTAAATAGATTGTTATCTCTAGGAAATTATTGCCACTCTCCTAATAACTCTTGAAATGTTTATCATAGCCAGTCTTGTCAAATCAAAAGAAATGAAGATTGCCCCTGAAAATATTGCTTTAGTAGCTTTGCAACAGGAAGAAGCTTGAGACTTTCAGAGAAGTACATTAATACTTTAAGGAAATTTTAACAGCACATCAGTCCACTTGTCAAAGTATATACCATTATCCTTTTATTGCCAATGAAATGGTCCGTGTTAAGCAATGAAAATGGCTCTGTGTCTGAAGCATTTTAACAAGTGGTTATAAAAAACACAGTGCACCATTGTGTGGCTCTTGTGTCTTCCCACCTCATCTTAAATATATCAGCTGACAGTTCTCCAGAAATACTTCACTTGAGCAGTGCTTAACATATTTTTCAGCTACTTTGCTATAAAGTTTCTAAGTTATGGCTGTTGTTTTAAGTTGAGTAGCTACTTGTTAATTTTTGTGTTTTTTTTAATATCCTATATAAAATCCTATATAATAAAAGCCTAATATGCAAATTGTCCCCTTGACCGGGAGTTCAACCAGGAGTTCGACCAGGAGGCGGGGGTGGCTGGCCAACCACCTATGGCTCCTCCCTCCAACCGGCCCCACCCGGCAAAGGGAGGCCCCGGCCAACAGCCAGGGACCCTGCCTGTGCACAAATTTCATGCACTGGGCCTCTAGTCAAATATAAACATTTCAGAAAACTGTCACTATTGTTGAAATAATTTTGTGCACAGCTTCAAAAATATATATAATACCCAGAAGGGATTAGCATGTTTCTTCCAATACAACACTGGCATGTTAGAAGCAAATTTATCTTTGTTGAATAAATTAATGTAGCTTAACAAATGGTTATGCTAATACATGTGATATGAGTATCTGTATACTAAATATATTTAGAATTAATTTTAATTAAAGTTTTCATTTGCCCATTGCCTTATCTTTTTAAGACTATAATTGAGCCCTAACCAGTTTGGCTCAGTGGATAGAGCATCGGCCTACGGACTGCAAGGTCCCAGGTTCGATTCCGGTCAAGGGCATGTACCTTGGTTGTGGGCACATCCCCAGTAGGAGGTGTGCAGGAGATGGCTGATTGATGTTTCTCTTTCATCGATATTTCTACCTCTCTATCTCTCTCCCTTCCTCTCTGTGAAAAATCAATAAAATATTTTTTTAAAAGACGATAATTGAGGTTAATAGGCCTGAACTAATATTTATGGCTGAGCCAAGTCTGTTTTCTCACATAGACAGTCTTCAAAATTATAAGTAGCCTACTATTCCATGGATGCTACACTGTAAGTATTGGTGTCCCAGTCACCTAGAAACTTGCTCTTCCAGGATGGAGCACTGGTTCTGCTCTGACTGATAACAGGACATGGAGGTATTAAAAGTTTGGCCACAGAAATGCAACCTCACACCACAGAGTTCCCTTCTATCCAGATCAAGCCCGTAGTTTATTCCATTAACAAAAGAACAGTTTTCTTTTGTAGTTATTCTTTGTCTAGATATTTGTTTGCACAAATGTTCTCTAAGGTTCTATTTTTGATGCATGTAATTACCATCATTGGTACAAATAAGGAAGATTGATTCCTGTTAAATACAGAGATTAAAAGTTGCTTCAGATTCTCAAAATATAAAAAGAGCTTTTATGGTGTCTATCTTTCAACAGCTTAATGAATGAAGTGGTTCATACATCTCCAACCATAGGAAGCAATGTTGAAGAAATAGTTGTGAAGAACACTCATTTTCTTATGTGGGACATTGGTGGTCAAGAGTCACTGCGGTCATCCTGGAACACGTATTACTCAAACACAGAGGTATACTAGAGTTACTACTAAAGTAAATTTAATAAAAAGAACCAGAGAGTAAACCCAGAAAATAGATAGGCTATACATAAGTCATATTGACAATGGCCTTTTTTAGTAAGGAATTTGGGGTTTCAAATAAAAGAGAAAGAGCAATGGGAGCTTTTATTAGATGAGTACTTACTGGTGTGCAGGCTCCCAGTTTACCCTCACCTTAATACTGTAGTATTTCCATTGTTGGAGAAATTGGACATGAGGATAAATTATATATATCTTTCCCAAGATCTCAGCTTTATTAGAGGAGTAATAAAATGCTTTGAGCATAATTTAATACAGATTTTCAAATAATATCATTTGAACATTCAAAATATTGCTGTGATTATATTGTAATTTTTTTGTAATGGATTTGCAGGCCAGACCCCAGACTTCTGTCACTTAGTCGTTATTTTATTATTTCATAGCCAACCTAGGGAACAAATTTAGAATATCTTCTATTTCTGTTTTTATTTTTTCTTAGAAGCAGATTTAAAAAATAATAAAATATAGATGCAATGCTGTCGAGAAAGGCTTATCGTTGAGAATATTAATATACCATTACATGCATAATTTTTCCTTACAGAAGTACAACAAACAAATTATTTTTTCTAAAATGAAGCCTTTTAAATTGAGTGGGGTTTTTTGTGGGGGGTGGAAGGGATGCAAGGACTTTTTGATGAATAATTTGCCTTTTTAAATAAAAACATGTATTCCTTTAGATTTATATTGATAGCATATGTATACGTGTGTATATAGTCTAGTGCAGGGGTGGGCAAACTTTTTGACTCGAGGGCCACAATGGGTTCTTAAATTGGACCGGAGGGCCGGAACAAAAGCATGGATGAAGTGTTTGTGTGAACTAATATAAATTCAAAGTAAACATCATTACATAAAAGGGTACAGTCTTTTTTTTTTTTTTTTTAGTTTTATTCATTTTAAACGGGCCGAATCCGGCCCGCGGGCCGTAGTTTGCCCACGGCTGGTCTAGTGCCATGTATAACTGATAAAACCAGGATGGCATAATGTAGATATTTAGCAGTTGTGGAAGCACTTAATTTTTTTTCTTTGCAAGGGAGGATAGGTTGGTAAGCAAATATTATGCTTATAAGTTAGCTTAATATATTTATTTCTACAGTAAAATAACTTTTGTTGGAAAGTAAGAGAAAAAAACATTTTAGCATTATGACTGTTTAAGCAGCATAGCTGTTGGTACTTTTTCAAAGCTCACAGTTAACTGCAGCTGTAAAAAGAACAGGTCAAAATGATTCTTGCTGATCCACACACTTTTGTAAAATTAGAAAAGTGTAGTTGCTGAAATTGCTGAAAATTGACTTAGCATGCGTCCAGAAAGACATACATTATTGCTGACACCATTTGCATGAAATGATATTTTAATTATTTCTACAAGAATAGCAAAATTACTACAAAGAACCATCGGCCTTTATTGCAGCACACCTGTATAACATATAGCATTTGCAATCTTAGATTCTAGGTAAGGATCTTATTATCTTTGTAGTAGTGTTCTGATGGCTTTGTTCACCCTTGTCATCTTCTTAAGTTCTTTATGTTGAGGAGTCATCCAAAAGATGAAATGACTCATTTGTAATACGAGTCACAGTTGATGACTAATTTCTGATATCTTACTCTCATTAACTTACAGAATTATTTCCATTCTAACTTTGCCTTGGTTCTTACATTTATCTCTTCTATTTTTTTTTTATCCCTTTCTAAGCCTTTCTCAGTTTATATTCAGATTACCCTAGTTGTCTCTTACCCTAATTTTACAGTCATCTGAATAATCTGATTCTACCCTTTTTGTCTTGATTTATTTTGCATCACTTTCTCTACTATAATCCTTAACACCATTTAATCTCATTTCTTAACTGTTCCTTTTACATAAGATGCTCAGTTTAGGAGCTCTTTCTCATTATATCTCCTTATTTTTCTTATCAAAGATGTTTTTATTTTTAATGTGTGTGAGACCTGCCTTTTCTTATATACAGTTACCAACAGTTTTTTCCAATTTCCTTTGCTTTCTTTAATTTCACCTGCATCATCTTTAGCATATTAACACCTAAGTAACACATTTTTCTTGTGCTTTTATTGTTGATATTGTTATGTAAAAAATGCGTCATTATTTTTTAATGTTTATCTTTCAAACTACTTTGTGTACTTCTTTCAAATAGACAGAAGACTGTGTAAACATAATTATTGCTTGCCTAAATGAGAGGTTGTAGAGTACTTTTAAGGTTTAGCAAACATTATTTTACTTATTGTGATTTTCTTAAAATTACTTATTACTTGGTTTTTAAAATAAATCTTAGTATTACGAAATATTATGTATTCAAATAACACTTTAAAAAAATAAAATTGGGCGTGGTTTGTATTTGATGAAGTTACAAGTTATTTTGTGCTGCTCGATGTAATTCCATGTAACATAAACCCTTTATGATGAAAAAGTAGTACAGTGTTTTATAGTAAGATGATGCCATGTGAAGAAAGTACTTCTATCACTTGAAAATAGTTTTGTAGAAAACGTCAACCCATTCAGTTTTCTTTCTTTTTAATTGTCTTCTAGTTCATCATTCTTGTTGTTGATAGCATTGACAGGGAACGACTAGCTATTACGAAAGAAGAATTATACAGAATGTTGGCTCATGAGGTAAGTTTTGAAAGTAAACATAAATAATGGAGTAAGGTATCTCTATACTGATTTTGCATTTTACAAATATTAATATGCTCTGGTATTGGTTATTTCATCATTAACAAAGCTGTATATATTAAATTAATAAAATTTTTCATTACTTTTTCAAACTTAAAAAAATCCAGCACGTTAATTTTTAGATTAATGTTATTGAAAAGATTTTTCAAAGTTGGAACTACTGATGTATGCCTTAAAAAGCTGATAGGTCAAAGCAGGAAAGGGGAAAACTTAAGTGTTTAAAATCCCAAGAGTTTCCTGGTTGGTGGTGTTCAGTGGATTGAGCGTAATCCCATAGACCAAGACGTCCCCTTTTCGATTCTGGTCAGGGAACATGCCTGCTTTGCAGGTTTGACCCCCAGCAGGGGGCATGCAGGAGGCAGCCATTTGATATGTCTCTCTCATTTTTATCTCTTTCCCTCTCCCTTCCTCTCTATCTAAAAAGCAATAAAAATATATTTTAAAAAATAAAATAATAAAATTCTGGGAGTTTATAAGAACTGAAAATTCTTTAGTGAATAATTTGAGATCCCTTCATTATGAATATTTCAAATATACAAAAAACTTCAAAAATAAAACACATTCATGCTTCCATCACTCAGTATAAGATAGTAAATATCTTTTGAGACTTCTCCAATTTGATTGTCTTCCTTTCTCAAGGAAACCAAAAAGAATTCCACTGTGGTGAAATAGTGATTATCATCCCTATGAATATTTTTACACTTTTATAAAAATACTAGAGGCCTGGTGCATGAAATTCGTGCATGGAGGGGGGCGTCCCTCAGCCCGGCTTGCACCCTCTCCAATCCGGGACCCCTTGGGGGTCATCCCTCTTACAATACAGGACCTCTGGCTCCTAACCACTCGCCTACCTGCCTGCCTGATACCCCTAACTGCTTCCCTGCCAGCCTGATCACCCCTAAGGGCCTCTGCCTGCTGATTTGATCACCCCCTTCAGCGGTTCTCAACCTGTGAGTCGCCAACAATGAAAATAATCCTGCATGTCAGATATTTACATTATGATTCATAACAGTAGCAAAATTACAGTTATGAAGTAGCAACAAAAATAAAATTTTATGGTTGGGGGTCACCACAACATGAGGAACTGTATTAAAGGGTCACAGTATTAGGAAGGTTGAGAACCACTGCAACTGCTCTCCTGCCAGCCTGATCGTCCCAACTGCCCTCCCCTGCCAGCCTGATTCCCCTAACTGCTCTCTGCTGCTGGCCTGATCGCCCTGAACTGCCCTCTGCTGCCGGCCTGGTCACCCCTAACTGCCTTCCCCTACAGGCCCCTAACTGCTCTCCCCTGCCAGCCTGATCGCCCCTAGCCACCATGGCTTTGTCCAGAAGGACATCCAGTAGATGTCCGGTCTAATTAGCATATTACCCTTTTATTACAGATTTTTATATTTAAAATTTTTGTTTACCTGCCAATTGTACAGAATATTATGTGCCATCTTTATAAAACTGTAATGATTAATCTATCTTTATTAGACTGAATTATTAAATTGTGTTTATTTGAGATCTTTCCTTTTGTTTCCATAAAGTTTTTAAGTTAAACATCTGTGTCTAGCACTAGCTGGTTTGCCTCAGTGGCTAGAGCTTCGGCTTGCAGACTGAAGGGTCCCAGGTTCAATTCTGGTCAAGGACACATGCCCGAGTTGCAGGCTAGATCCCCGGTAAGGGGCATGCAGGAGGCAGCTGATCAGTGATTCTCTCTCATCATTGATGTTTCTATCTCTCTCTCTCCTCCCTTCCTCTCTGAAGTCAATAAAAATATATTTTTTAAAAATATCTGTGCCTAATCATTTTAAAGTAGAGGGGTTTCATTGTAACTGTCCAGTAGAGTACATTTTACCCTTGTGTTCATTAGTTTGATTTGAGTTGGGATATTTCAGGTATTATAATATTTCATATTGATTGCAGGATTTAAGGAAGGCTGCAGTCCTTATCTTTGCAAATAAACAGGATATGAAAGGGTGTATGACAGCAGCTGAAATATCCAAATACCTCACCCTTAGTTCAATTAAGGACCACCCATGGCACATTCAGTCCTGCTGTGCTTTAACAGGGGAAGGGTAAGTGCTAATCAGAATGGGGCAGGTATGACTTCTTTAATTACTTTCCATTTTTTTATGCCAACTTGTTTTCTTTTTTGATCCTGCTTCATTTTGGTCCTTAACTAAAGATGGTTTTTATGTTATGTTTCAGGAAATAATTTTAGTCAATTACAGTTGTTAATATGTTAAGCGCCCAGCCTGTTTTGTCTTCTGAATGGAAAATACAGTGTCAGTCACCCAACTGGGCACTTAACGTATTAAATTACAATTTCACAAAGTTAGTGACAAATTTTTTGTTAATACAAACAGAATGTTTTACCAAAAAAGTAATAAACTTTTAAATTAAATTTTTGCAATCTAATTTTTAGTTATTGTTCATTTCATGGTTTTATCATTTACTTACTGGGAGAAAATTATAATATCCCTTGACTTAAAGAGGAAGCATCAAAGAAATTTCACCTTTTCTGCAAAGGCGTAATTAAGCTTAAACTCCTAGCTTTCCACAGAGTACATCCCCTTTATTATCAGGAGTCATTTTGGGATGCATATTTCTAAACAATAAACATTTGAAATAAATGCCATTATAGTATTTTCTTCCTTTTCTAAGAACTTGAGTTTGGATAAATAGGCCAAGGAGAACCCAGTGTGTTAAGCATGGATTACCCAGTTTATTTCCGGGATTTATTTATGCTCAAATTAACTTGACCTTCTTAGTTTTTTCATACTAGAAATACCTTGTAATATAATGCTACATGTAGACTTTTTTGACCTATACTTCTAAGATTGACCTATACTTTTAAAAAATCTGTGCCTAATCATTTTAAAGTAGAGGGGTTTCATTGTAACTGTGCAGTAGAGTACATTTTACCCTTGTGTTCATTAGTTTAATTTGAGTTGGGATATTTCAGGTATTATAATATTTCATATTGATTGCAGGATTTAAGGAAGGCTGCAGTCCTTATCTTTGCAAATGAACAGGATATGAAAGGGTGTATGACAACAGCTGAAATATACTTTTAAGATTGAGCTATAAGCCTCCATTCTTTAGAATTTAGGAGGGTAAGGTGAAGTACTGTTATCTTTCTATAGTGGTTGCAGTTTTAGTTCATCTTAAAGGAGTGGGGGTGAGGAGTATTTGCAATCTTGCTGAAAAACTGCCAAAGCTGCATCCTCTAGGTGAGACTGAAGCTATTTCATTTCCCACATTACTCAACTGAGTAAGGTCATTTTAAGTGACTCTTCCACTTAAAATGTCCACTTATTTTAGTGTTACCCGAATATTGTCACTTGTGTATAAATAATTTTTGTAGTACCAAGTATGCTTTCAATTTTTAAGTATAAACTTTTTTTTTCTTTGTTTGCTGGGGGAGGGGGGGCGGGGGGAGGGTGGGAGGAGGTTTTAAAGATGCTTGCGATATGGTCCTTACCTACGTGACCCAAACTTTTTCATTTTGAAAATATTTTTCTCTTTTGTTTCAGGTTATGCCAAGGTCTAGAGTGGATGACCTCCAGAATTGGTGTGAGATAACTGTTTTGCTTGAAAGAGACTGCTCTATTTATTCTGTGACATGAACATTTTTTCCTAGTATCTTTGGCTGCTAAGGCAGCAGCATGTTTAATTTATAACAACACAAACCTCTATGAGCAACACTTGAATCAAGTGCAGCTGAACTGGAACGTGGAAGATTTTTTCTTAACTTTTTTTTTAATGCACTAATCTTCAGTTGGATGAACACTAATGTATAACTGTGTTTTCAGCAACAGAACTTTTCTGACTGCTTATTCTAATTATTCAATGACTGCCTTGTAAGAAATGTTTGTCATATGTCTAATGTTTCCCGAAGTATTGTAATGACTTTAATGACCAAGTTCTCTCATTTCTTGACCACCCCTCCCCCACCAGATAATGACTGGTTTGACAAAGTATTAGATGAAATCATTGGGTACTGCTTGCAAACTTAACCAGCACTAAGTATTTGCTCCCTCTATAAACCACTTACTTTTTGGACAGAATTTATAGAGAAAGAAATCTGCCTAGAAGATATATTTGAGGAAGATTAAACAACATGAAAATTGACTTTAAATGAGTTAACTCCTCTACATCATTGAAAGTCATGGAATAATTTTAAGTTACTGTTAGCATGGGAATTATGTAGGCTATTATCTAAAAGAATTAAGTCCACATTTCTGCCTATAACATGGCATTTGTTTTGGTTAAAAACTAATCAAGGTAAAATATTTGTTTAAATACCCTTCTGTGGATAAACATGGTATTTTAAGAATGCGCATTATTCAATGCATATATAAATATTGGTAGTTATTAAAGCATACCAGCATTAATATTAAAACCAGCCACTTGGAATATATTTTATTACCAATTATCAACAACTTTATCAGCCTAAAGTTCAACTATTCCATTTGCAAGGGACATCCCATCTCCTTTGGGCAAAGCTAAATCAGAATATAAAGAGTTCATTTTATTTGTTAAAATTTGAAATTGTGTCTGTAATATTCTTACTACCACCAGCAGTATATTACTTAAAAAAACTATATGGCTTTTCTTATATCTATTTGAGGTTGTAGTAATAAGCTTGAAACAATTTTCATCTTTATTGTTATGCCTCTTGCTCAAAAGTCTTTTGCTGGAGTATAGGAAAACTGCTAAATTTAATCCTAGCTTTTAGAATAGTATTATGAGACTCAAAGTTAATACACTAACAACTTATAAATTTAAAAAATAGGAAAAAAGTCATAACTATCAAAAGTCTGTTTATTTGATAATATTTAAAAGTTTTCAAGGCAGTTGTCTAATATGAACAGTAAATAATGCATACCTTGAGGAGGACAGGTATGGTAATTTTAATCCTCTTTATCTTAAATGTATGATTTTGCTATAATGAAAGGGATAAAATACATACTTAGAGAATAATAATACATCTTTGCAGTATTTTTTTTTCATTTGGGTCAAAAATAGGATTCAGTGTTCTTAAGAATATCAAAATACCTATTCAAAAATGGTATTTTAATTCTATTTTTTTATTGTAAGTTGGTTTAAATTTTGCTGTTTTCAGGTATATTTGATTTATTCTATTTAGTCTAATTAATATGTAGTTGAATGTGGTAATAATTTTCTGATTTCTTTTTAGTGGTAGCACACACTAGAACTGAAAAATGGCTAGATGAAAGCTTTTGGGACTTTGGGAACTAGTTGTTATTAACATTGTTTTGAACCTTTTTCTTAGTGATTTCATAGCAAGTAGAGGATAACTTTTCTTTTTAATATAACCCATAATCAGGAACCTGAGAGAAGAGTAGACATATCAATGTGGATGCTTTGTGGTGTGTATGTGGCAGTGAAACTAAGAGATTATGAAAATACTATTTACCCAAAGCACACTTACCAAATTTTTCTCTTGGTTAGACAATTTAGCTACAAATACTGAGTATAGTTTTCCTAACTCTATCCTGAGAAAAAACATTAATACTCCTTGTTTATACTTTGAAATTTGTCTTATATCTAACAAGATTGGCTGGCTCAATTTTCACTTACCAAATTATATGTTTATTTTTTTCTTTATATTACCATGTCAGCATTATATTGAAAGTGAACAACTACTAGTATAGATTCAAGTTTGCTATTTAATTTTTAAAATACAATTTATTTTATTTTCTGAATCCTTTTAAAAAACATTTTGTTTTGGATTAGAAATAATTTATGTTAGCTGTGTGTTGACAATGAAATGGCATTCAACTAGATTTTGTGCCGATTGGGAATTTAAATTAAGAAACTAATGTAAGACTTTTTAAAAGTATATTGTAGGTCCTAAATAGATATTTCCTGTTACAGTAATATAAAAACTGATTACCTTTTACTCCAAGAGAATGTTTTGACCCAAGCATGTATCTAATGCTAAAGCATTGATTCTGACATTCATTGTAAATCAACAAACTCTAGGATATTGTCTGATGAAAAATGTAAATTTGTGATTAGTGCCTATGTTCATATTTTAAGATGAGTTTTCAATTTTGTACTATACCTTTTCTTTGGAAATCAAGTTAGCAGCTAATTAACAGTGATATTATCGGAGTTTTTATCCTACCCATCAACCCCTCAATTGCCTAGCAAAGTTTCTAGTAGATAGTGGAAAGCAAGGGACCTACCAACATTAGTTTAGGGAAGTTATTGTACATTTTGTTTTTAATTTGAGTGTAAAGAAACAATGTTGTCTTTTAAATATGCTGTAACTAAAATGTAATTGCTACCCTAACAAGTCCAAATATGGTACTTTTCTTAATTTTGAGCATGTTGTGTTCATATTTAGCCCCATCTCTCTTATTGAAACCTTTTTGAGAACTCTTTTAGAATTACAGGCCCTTTTATATGGGATTATACTGCATATTTTATATTGTTAGTGTAATTTAATTTTTTATAATCTGAAATAATATATATCTATAATCTATTGAAAAGCTCATTAAATACATAACTTTTGCTTTTAGGTTCTGTATTAGTGTGCTTAAAGGTCTAATTTTATTCTATGTTCATTGGAAGAAAGATAAGAAATTCAAGTTTTTTTTTTAACAAATTCAAGTTTTAGTGTTAAAAATAATTTTTACACATGCATGACCCCTATAGCCATAGTCATTTTCATTAAGCATAAGTTAACTTTCACTATTTATAACATAAAGAGAAAAAATACATTTCTTTTCCTATGGAAACAGTGAATGATATAGGCAGCAGGCATACAATATTTTCTGAAGAGTTATGGGGAGTCACAAAGCAAATACAATTTTAAAGAAAATAAAATACTGAAGAAAAATTTTTGGTATGGTGAAAAAAAAATGTACTGTTGTTATGCATATAGAGATGGTGAATTCCATTGACATTTATATTTGAAGACCAGCTTCATGAATCTGACTTTTCATCTGTGGCTTTGGATCCAAAACATTTCACATCCTTTATATTTTGTTAGGGTAAAGTCATCTCAAGATACGGTATGGTAAGGAAAGAAAAACAAAATGATGTATAGCATGATAATCTGTATCTAGTAGAATATTTTGCTAGCTAGCTAAAGGATGGATTTGAATCTTAGTTTGGCCATTACTTGTCTAGTTCACCTTCAGCAATTACTGTTTGTGCCCTCCCTATTGTTTTTCATATACCCAGGAACTTAGCGCTAGAACTCCAACATGTCTTTTGATTTTAAAATACTGAATCTTCATTTGCTACATTAAAATTGAAAAACCAAAAAAAAAAATACATGTAATGTGAAATTAAATTCATTTTAATCTATTATTTTATTCCCACCTTCTAATTTCATTTAGTATATGAATACAATCGAATAAGAAAATAAATTTCAACTAGTAACTGCTAATCAACTTAAATTGAGCTAATAACAATGCAAAAGAGAAAATAAGCCATATTGCTAAGAGCATGCTAGTAAGCTGCTTAGGAAACAACATATTCTGCTGGTAATACTCTCTTCTTGAAAATGCCTTGCTTTCTTGGCTTTTACTAATTTAATTAGAAGGGGTTAGTTTATTCAGAGTTTATTGGCCTCATGCCATCTCAAACTGCAGTTCTGTTTGACTTTCTAGCATTGAAAGGATAGTGCAGCCAGAATGTCAATATTTTACAAACATTAAATTTATTTAGCATTACTGAAGACTGAAATCCAAAAGTCAGGTTCCCAAGAAGTATTTTTTAAGAGTACTAGGTGGCCAAAACTAAATAGAGAAGGCGAATAATAAAACAAAATAATACAACTATATTTAAGGTAGAAAAATTACTGTAGTCAGCAGACCTAAATTCAGCTTTAAATGTATATAGTTTGGGGAAATGTTAATTGAGAGGTATAGAGGCATACCTAGAAACAAAAATCAAAACACTTGATAGTGAAGATAACCATGAGTAGAAAAATCTTAAAAAGGATATTAAGTAAATAGAAAATTTGAAAATTGAATCCGCCCTCCGCCCGTGCGCGCCCTTTAAAACTAGGCTAGAAAGTAGATTATTTTAGTATAGAACTGGTTGGACCTATGTTATTTTTAATGTGGCCAAAGGATTGAAGACTGATCAGGTTTTTAGAATTTGGGAGTGTAGTCACATAGAGGCATCTTTTGCATTTTTTAAAATCAGTAATCTACATTTTCTCTCAGAAATAGTGAAATAAAATGTGTCGTGCATGTCTTTTGAAATAGAAAATAGTTCTAGAAGACTGGAAATCTTCTCTTGCACGTACTTACAAAATTTTAATTTGAAAATTACCTCATTTTCCAATCCATAATAAGGTGCTTTTGCTCAAATTTGTGGGATGTTAAACCATCCCATAAATACCCCTTCACCCAAACTCTATTTGAAATATGCAAAATTCACAACTAAGGGATAGTATTCCTTGGAGATTTTGTTTTATTTTATTCTTGTTTACCACCAGCAGGGCTAGCCTGGCATAGCAGGTCCGAATATTGTCTTCATTAAAGCAAATAAGCAAGTTCTCAATATATAATTAGTTTAATA